TTCCTTTCCATTTGCCTGAAAGATATTTTTCCATCCTTTCACTTTCAGTCTGTGCGAGTCCCTTCTACTGAGGTGGGTTTCTTGTAGACAGCAGATGTATGGGTCATGTTTTTTTATCCATTCAGCCACTTGATGTCTTTTGGTTGGAGCATTTAGTCCGTTTACGTTTAAAGTTATTATTGAAAGGTACTTGTTTGTAGCCATTTCTTTTTTTGTGTGGCTGTTTTCTTTCTGAGCTTTTTATTTCTTCTTTTTATACCAGACCATTTTGGCTCTGTCTCTTGAATCACTTTCTCTTTTCGTCTTCCACCGTCATTTTATGTTTCTTTAGTTCTGCTTGTTTAGACAGAAATTCTTAAGCCCAGTCTCTGATCTTCTCTGTTGCTCATTGGAACTTTCTTCTTCTTGTATTTGGTTACTGATCATAGATTTCAACTCTTTCTGTTTAAAGATCTGGATGCTATACATGTCGAAGGGCTCAATTCAGGGATTCTGTCACTATTGCCATCCATGCACCACTCAATAGTTACCCTACATGGAAAAATATGGAGCTGTTGATGTTGAATAGTAAGAAGAACCCACACCAGGGAGTGAGAGTAAAATTTTGCCACTAATTATAATTAGGTATGTGACATTGGAAAAGGTATTACATTTCTTCCTGTTATCTCATTTATAAATTGAAAGAGAATGACAATCACTGATTTTTCAAACTTTGTTAAGGCTGTGCTATGCTTTCTTAAAGTGAAATCTTAAGGGAACATTAATAAAAATTATTAAAGTGGAACTGCTTTGTTCAACACGGTGGCTGCTTGTCACTGCTGTTACCTCAGGAGCAATCCCTGGAACATCTCAGTGGATCTCCTTGAGGCTCATGTAATTAAAACTCCAGGCTACCTAAAGGCTTCATCTCAATTCTATGAAATCTGTGGTTCCCAATTCTATGAAGTGCCTTAGTTTTTAGGAGCTTAAAAATTACTGGGAAAATCAGTCAGCCAACTGCTGTTAAATAATGGTTTGGGTTTTTAAAAACTGTGTTTATTGATTATTTGGCTCTTTTGTCAACAAACTCTGCAGCTTGGCACGTGTTCTCTATATAAACACAAGAAAAGATCACTGGCACTGATAAGAACAGGTAAATAGGTTGAGGAGACAAGTGAACAAGTGTATGTTAATACTAAATACCAGTGGAACTTTTCTTGAGAGATGGAGATATTTTGCTATATGCATATATCAATGGGATTCTGGGGAAAAGTATTTTTCTTTTTAATAAATAACAGCAACCATTTCTTAAATGTATATTTTTTAACATATTAAATCCTAACTATAGCCCTCCAGAGTCCTTAGTGCTGCTCATAGCCATAGATAAAAGTCATGTGACAGATTGTTCTTTCATTCAGTAAAATAATGCCTTCAGAATTTTACCAAATATCAATCTTCTTTAAGAGCACCTAAGCAATTAGGACATCTTTCAAACAATGTTTGAGCACAAACTCCTTTACTGCAAATAAGTAAATGATGTTAAAAAAAAAGAGATGTGTGTGAATCAGAGTTTAAAAGGGGAGGACAGGTCAGTAAGTTAAGAAAATCTTTCTAAAGGAAATAAGTTGAAATAAAGGATGACAGAACAGAAGCCGAGAGGGAAGAAGAAAGGAAGAAGGGGGGAAAAAACGGAGATAGCTTCAAAAACTTAGGGGCCTGAAGGAAGATGTCTATCATTGTGTATACTTGTGTGACCTGAAAAAAGTTGCTTTTTCTCTTTGTGCATCGGTTTCATTAATTGTAAAGTAGACATAAGAAGGATCTCCCTGCCCTTACCAATTTGGCTCAGTGGATGGAGCGTTGGCCTGTGGACTCGAGGGCCCCAGGTTCGGTTCTGGACGGGGGCATGTGCCTTGGTTGCGGGCACATGCCCAGTGGAGGGTGTAGATGGTTCTACAAAAAACAGCAACTCTCAAACAAAATGTCAAAACAAAAAAACCAGTTTGAGGTGACAAACATTTTATTCTTTACAGTAACATTTTCTAATTTTTATATTTCAAAATTATTTATGTGCTTTATTCACACTGTCATCACAATAACCCTCAGTGGTCGACAAACTCATTAGTCAACAGAGCCAAATATCAACAGTACAACGATTGAAATTTCTTTTGAGAGCCAAATTTTTTAAACTTAAACTATATAGGTAGGTACCCTGTTATTAACTTAATTAGGGCACTCCTAAGGCTTAGGAAGAGTCACACTGAAGGGGCCAAAGAGCCGCCTGTGGTTCGCGAGCCGCAGTTTGCCGACCACGGCTCTAAGGTAACAAGGGCAGATCTCAATATCCCACTTCAAGGGAAACAAGAAGCCTTGAGGAGGCACACACTTGCTCAGTGTTTAATGATTAGTAAGGTACTGACCATGAATTGGAGCCAGTGTTCCCTGGTTTTAAATCCAGAGGTTTTCCTCATGTGCACCTGAGGAAATCCTAAATGCTCTTCCATCCCATAAAGAGTGGGTCAGGAATTGACATAATGAGGACACATCTCAGTATTTGCTCTAAAGAGGATGAATGTGAACAAGTTCTTTATCTCATGGACGCAGAGTAAGGACAGTGTTAACACTCTGTGGTGTCTTGAAGGTCATTGCTCTCTTCTTCATTGGTACTTGTTTTCTTATAGTTTTTGTGTCTGAAATGAAAGAAACGGGTGGCAGAATTCATTGTAAGTATTGGATATGGTGGCAAATAAGTAACAATCCAACTTATTTGTACTTCATTGGGCAGTTATCAATCACCCTCATCATCTCGCAGCAATCTGTTGAAGTGGCTTGCTAAATTATTCTCATCATTGATAAGTGCCGAGAAGCTGAAAAAAATATAAGTAAATTTCACAGATGTACACCCAAGAATAGTGTCATGATTCCTTGCATTGGGGTCCTATTTTTAAAGAAAAAAATAATTCAGTTGCCAGAAATGACTCTGTAACCAAAACTCACGTGTTAAATTTCCAGGGATTCTTTTTTTAATTCTCACCCAAAAATATTTTTCCATTGATTTTTAGAGTGGAAGAGAGAGGGAAAGACAGACAGAAATATCAGTGTGAGAGAAGCACATGGATTGGTTGCCTCCTGCATGAGAACCAACCAGGGCCCGGGACAGGGAGGAGCCTGCAACTGAGGTATGGACCCTTGACCGGAATCGAACCCAGGATCCTTTGCTTTATCCACTGAGCCAAACTGGCTAGGGCAAATTTCCAGGAATTCTTACTGAAAATCCAGCTCTCAACTTTTTTAAGGCTCAGACCTAGAGCCAGTACAACTTTACTTCTAGTACATTCAAATGGGTATGATGAGTCACAGGACCAAGCAGGTTCAACGTCAAATATTTGACTACTAAAATCAGTATTCACCATATCATCATTTATACTGGGATTTTTCAACCATGTTGAAAAATAAGTTATTCTTTTCAAGTTCATCACATGATTAAAATAATTGATTTATCAAAGAAAAGCTAACAACAACAACAACAACAAAAACAATGCCCTATTTCTTACCTTCTTTCTACATCCTGTATAGTGTCTGGAAGTGGAAGGTTTAAAGTCTCTGGTAGGAAGTAGACACAGAAGGCAGCCACAATGGGGAAAGTTCCAAGCAGGATTGTTGGCAAGTGTTCAAAATACTGCCTTGTAATTAATGCTAGACTGCTCAGAGATGCGGCCAGACCAGAACTGAATATAATTCCAGCCTCTGCTCTGGACCTTGAAAATAAGAAAACATTATTTAAATAAATATTTGTCTTTTCTTAGAGACTTGTTTGTGAAGCCTTTCTTGACAACCTTAATACAAGGTCATCTTTCTCTCATTGGGTTCTGTTGGTTTAAAGTATGTGTATGGTATCTTGTAAGTAAAGACAAGATATAATAGTTATAATTTGCAATTGTTCTTATTTTCTACTTTATAGTGCTTCAGGGATTCCACCTTCGGCTGAAAATGAAATCTAAATGCCCTACTGTGGTCATTACTATGTTGCCAACTTTGGTGCTCATGATAATGTTTCTCCCCTTAAATGTTAAATTTCAATTACACTGGCCTTTTGAGTTTCTAGACAACATGTGGTAGAAGTTTGTTTGTTTGTCTATTTTAGCTAACTCTACATGCTGGCTCTTGGATCACATATTTATATGTTTTACTTATACGTTTTACGTTGACTGGTAGTAGAGCGCGGGACACGTATTAATACGTTTTTTATAGACTAGTGGTAGAATGCGGGTGACGTATAAATACATAAACTAAAGTTATTGTGATTTTACTGAACGTTGCCATTTGCGCAAATAATTAGCAAAAATGGCCTGCGCCACCTGTTAGCGCGATAAAAACTACCCGCAAACAATGTGTTAATTACAGTGGGGCCTTAACTTACGAGTGTCCCAACAAACGAGTTTTTCGAGATATGAGCCATCTCTCAGCCGATTTTTTGCTTTGAGTTGAGAGCTAAAATTCGGGTTACGAGCCAGCTTCAGATACCCCACCGCTAGTTGGTGCAGCGAACATCACAGTGAACGCTACATCAGCCCAGCATCACGTGTCTCACTCGTTCACAATTGATTTGACATACCAGTAATTTCAGTTACAAGCTCCGTCACAGAACTAATTAAACTCGTAAGTCAAGGCCCCACTGTATATCACATATATAATTATGTGCCTTTTGTTACTGCAGATAAATTACTTTGTAACCCTGTTTTTCTCAATGATTTTGAAATGCTTCCACTTTGGAATATTTGTTATCTCAAGAGAATATTATTCCTTTATCTATGAATTTACTCAGTTCTGTTAAGTGATTATCATGAGTTTCATACAGAGTCCACTAATATTTAGTGTATTCACATTCACTTTTATAAAAGATTAGATAGATCTCTAACAATAAAAACATGGGTAGAGTCCTGGCCTGTGCCGCTCAGTAGTTAGAGTGTCGGCCCATGTAACAAAGGATCATGGGTTCAATTCCTACTTAAGGGCACATACCTGGGTTGCAGGTTGTGTCTTTCATACATCAATGTTTCTCTCTCTCTCTCTCTCTCTCTGTCTTCCCTCCCGCTCTCCATTCCACTCTCTCTAAAAATCAGTAGAAAAATTATCCTCCAGTGAGGAGTAACAAACAAAGAATGGGTAGAGGTTTTACAAGGTGACATTGAGTCTGAAGTCCCATAAAACTTGCATTGCTTTGGTTTATGATATATTGTGAAACCTTTTGAGTGATTAGGATGTTACAATGACCAGATATAGTTTTCTAGTAATGATTCAGTTAAAATTATGTTGTAGTTTAAATTCTGAGCCAAAATTCAAAAATATTTAATTGTGTCTATGGGATTGAGCACTAAGGGAAAAATTTAGCTGTGTAAGACAAAGGCAGGATGGAATTGTAGCAGTGGTCGGCAAACCCATTAGTCAACAGAGCCAAATATCAACAGTACAACAATTGAAATTTCTTTTGAGAGACAAATTTTTAAACTTAAACTATATAGGTAGGTACATTGTTATTAATTTAATTAGGGTACTCCTAAGGCTTAGGAAGAGCCACACTGAAGGGGCCAAAGAGCTGCATGTGGCTCGCGAGCCGCAGTTTGCCGACCACGGATCTAGTGAATAAAATCATAGCGTGATTTTAGAAAGAAAGCTTAGTAGGTGTTTGATGAATGTGTTTGTGGAGGTGAGAGGGATTCAATGGAAAATCTCTGGGGACGAGTAGTTATGATTACTTTAAAAAATATCAGAATTTTGAGAAAATATTCTAGACTAACTGTGGGTAATCATAATTTTTGCCAAGGATGGTGTTTACTTTTTTTTTTATCCCTCACCCAAGGAATTTTTTCCCCCATTCCTTTTTAGAGAGAATGGAAGGAAGGGAAGGGAAGGGGGTGGGGAGAGAGAGAGAGAGAGAGAGAGAGAGAGAGAGAGAAGACACATCAACTTGTTGCCTTCTGCAGGAGCCCCAACTGGCTGGGGATCAAACCTGCAACTCAAGTACATGCCCTTGACCAGGAATCAAACCCAAGATCCTTCAGTGCGCATTCTAATGCTCTAACCACTGAACCCACTGGCCAGGGCCCAAGGTTGGTTTTTAAATTGCCATGGTAATTAGTTGAAGTTTCTTTGAGTACAGACTTCACTTAGACTTATTTAAGTATCTAGCTAATTCCAGGAAACTCTCAATTTTAGTCTTAGTAAGGAGAGTTCAGTGGCTTACCTGAGCCCTGTGGGTATGAGTTCATGATTATAGATCATATTCATGCTCAAGTATATTGCCATCAATCCTTTTCCCAACATAGCAAGTCCAAGGCGTATGTAAGGCATGTCTGTGAGGTTAAGGGAATATCATTAGTGTGCTTAAGTCAATATGATGAAGCACATAAATTACCTGGCATTTATATCCTCATTTACCATTGATTATTTGTAATGGCCCCTTTTTAATGAGTATATATAACATTAAGAATATTTTTATTGATTTTTAGTAAGGGTGTAATATTTTATATCATTGTTAAACCAGTATGTATAATTATTTTGTTCGGTCCAGAATGATGACAAAGTTAATGACGATGATTAGAAAAACAGCTTTATGTAGGGGTAGGAAATGTGTGATATTTTTCATTCTTCTCTACAATTATGAGATTATAATTTTCCCCTGTTCTGACATTGTTTAGATTACTTCATTTTCCAATATTATATTCTTGGAGTCAGAATTTGGAGCCACTTTAAAATTCTCTCTAGAGCTCCAGATAAACTGCTGCTAATGCATTTGCATGTAATTTGAATGTAATTGAAGGGCTTCTAAGGAATGACAGTTCTGTTTGACTTTGGATAGACAGAAGAGACACAAGAATTTCTCCCAGTTAAGTGTGATGTTTCTGAAAGTACCATATATCCTTTACTGCCATTGGTATTTGCAAAGAGAAGGAATGAAGAGGTGAGTGGTTTCTATACTTATTGATAATATATTTGGGTTCTCAAACCATTGAGAAAATTAGGTTAGATTTCAGAAAAGTCCATTGACTGTAGGTTTTCCTGAATATGACAAAAATGTAATAGGGACTTCTATAAAGTCAAAGATATTAACGTTAAATAAATCCTTGTGTTACGTGCAAAGTGTTTAAATAGTTCCTCTCAATGGCCTGAAACCCGAGTTCCCATTTATCTCAGCTAAAATTCAAATACTTACCAGACTCTAAACACCAAAAGACACAAATTTTCCTTGCACCAGCTATATAATTCACCATGTTGTTATCAGAAAAAAAATGAGGAAATACTTCCTTCCATAATTAACCTTGATCTTCAATACCAGATCTTCCATTGTGTTCTTGATTGTACCCCTTCTTGAATTATTAAAGATTTTGATATTTTTTATAATGTCTCTATTCCAACTGCTAAATTTCTCATTACTTAGAACATATGTAGGAAATTATATATATAATTATTTTATGTATTATATATCATATGCCATATATCATATATTGTGTATATTATATAGGATATATATTATATATATATATCCTATCTAATAATAGACAAACATGGTAATTAACCATACCTTTGCTACTGTCGCCATTGGCTGATCAGCATGATATGCAAATTAACCACCAACAAAGATGGTGGCTAATTTGCATACTGCAGGCAGATCAGGACACCGAGAGCCACCATCCAGGCCCCTGTGTGCGACCCCAGGAGCCTCCGGAAAGCCAGGCCTCAGGCAAGGTGGCCCCCCCGGGACCCAGGAGCCACCTTGCCTGCAGCCCATGATCGTGATCAGAAAGCCGAGCCATAGGCAAGTCAGCCCCCTGGGACCCAGGAGCCCATGACGAGGTCTGCAGGTCAAGCTATGAGGGGGAGGGTTGGGGGCGGAAGGAGCTACAGGAGCAGCTCTGGCCGGAGACTGAAGACTCCCACCAGAGCAACACACACACACACACACACACACACATATATACATACATATATATACACACATATATAATTTTCTAGTCTTAAAGCTTCTATACATACACATGCACATGCATCTTGAACATGGATTCTGATCTTAATTTTAAAATAATTTTCATTGATATTTTCTAGGAAACTCAAATATATACTCTAAACTCTTTATTAACTTAAATTACCTATTGCACTGCTGCCTATTTTACTAGAATCCTTTCTCATCCTTTACACATTTCAATTTGACCAGGACCGTTTCAATTTACTCCTTTTGAACTTGCATAATTAATAATAATGGCATTTCCTTTTCACACTCAAGTGTGCTTCCGTTGAAATGATAAATTATATAGCCACCCTAAGCCAAAGGCGCATTCCCCAAGCCTTCTTCCCTTGTTTTTCCATTTCAGTGAATGGAGATAAAATTCTACCAACTGCCAAGTGGGAAAACTAGGGCTCCTGCTTAACTGGTCCTCACATTCTCTCACATGCTGACCATTCCACATGCTGTGCTGATTTTGTCTTCTCTTTTCCACTTGGGATCTCTACTATGTCCTACCAGTGACATAGTAGAGATCCCAGTGTATATATTTCCAAATAACCCAGAAAAAGAACTTCTTTTACCATTGGCCAATACATTTAATGATGCTTTTAAACAGTTCCACAAAGTAAGTTTCTCCATAGTAGAACACATATTTTATTGATTACTTTTATCAGTAATCCAGCCCTATAAAAAATTTGTGATGCTGAGAATAATGTTTCTTGAAGAGAAATAAATGTAAGATTTATGTTTGAATATATAATAGACATATTAATTAAATTAATGTTAATTATGTAATGTATAAATTCAGATATATAATTCAATTAAAGTTTATAATATATCAACTTATATAAAGAAATCAATTTACTCAAGATGATTTGGCTCAGTGAATGGAGCATTGGCCTATGGACTGAAGGGCCCCAGGTTCGATTCCAGTCAAGGGCATGTATCTAGGGCAGACTCTTCCCCAGCCTGGGCCCTGATCAGGGTTCATGCAGGAGGCAAACTACCCATGTGTTTATCTCTCTTCTACTATAAAACTCAATGGAAAAATACCTCATTCTCAGGTGAGGATTAAAAAAAAAATCAATTGTACTTTATATCAACTATATTTATAATCTACATCTATATGATCTAACTTATTCTATATTATAGTCTATAATAATATAGTTTATATAGTGTCATAATATTTATATATAGGTATTGCTAAATACAAATATATGTTAAACTCTGATGTATTATTATTAACTTGATATTAACATACCTTGATCATGCCACCATGCTGCAATGAAGTTATGTCCACAGATGAATTGGATCAGTACATTAAACACTAACAATTTTTTTTAGATAGCACTATCAAAATCCTCAAACATTTTTCTGAAAACTGTCATTCTCACCTTTGGGCACGAATATATTGATTAAGATACAAAATCCACCTAAGAAAAGAGCAGAAGCGATTGAAGGCCGCCGTTTAAGGAACTTCATTACAAGGAAAGAAAGACTTTTTGATGGGAAGTCCACAGCTCCAAGGAGAGCCTGAGACAAGAACATATTGCTCCCTAAATTTTGTAAATCTGTCAACACTCCATGAACAAAGAAAACTGCAGAAAATCTGTAAAAGAGAATAGAAAATGAATGGACACTTTAAAAACACCTACATTTTGAATATTTATTATATTTTTTCATTGTAGATACACCATGCTTATGAAAATTATAGATACTATAAAAGTCAAAGAAACAGTGATATTATACCCCAATTCCACAAAAAGCACAAAGATCAAACGAAGTGGGAAAGATAGAGGTATTTGTGCTAAACTAACTATTTATTATTGAGGATAAAAGTTATCACTGGGATTTTCACTTCCAAGAGGTGGACTGTTACTCACTAAGGCTGGGTAAATGAGGCATAAGACTTATTTTACTTAGTGACTACTGACTTGCTCAACATAATTATCTATCTTTAATTTATACATGTTGTAAATCTTCTCTAAAGATATGTAGTTTACTTATTATAAGACTAGAGGCCCAGGGCACGGATTTGTGCACCAGTTGGGTCCCTCTGCCTGGCCTGCGGGGATCAGGCCGAAACCAGCTCTCTGACTTCCTCCGAGAGAGTTCCGGATTGCAAGAGGATGCAGGGCAGGCCGAGGGATCCCACTGGGGCTGGGGAGGGACCGCGGGAGGTTGGCCAGCCAGGGAGGGATGGAGGGAGGGCTCCAGTGCACATCCGGCCCATCTCGCCCAGTCCCGATTGGCACACCCCATCAACAAGCTAACCTACCAGTCAGAGCATCTACCCCCTGGTGGTCAGTGTGTGTCATAGCGATTGGTCGAATGGTCACATGAACAGTTGGACACAGCATATTAGACTTTTATTATATAGGATTAGTAGCTTTTACTGCATCTCTGTTCATCAGTTTCTGCATTTTTCAAATAACTGTCTTAGTATTTTTTTAGGGCTAAGTGATTTATGTCACAAAACCTGTAAGAAATGTAAGTGCTAAATAAAAATTAGCAAGTTTATAATTAAAATTATTAAACTAAGAAAAATAGTATCTCTTTATATAGATTGTTTTAAAATGTTTTTACAGTTGGCAAAGTATTATGTGATGGAAAAATGTTAACAGTACAGATTTACAGATGTTGCTATATTATAAGACAAGGAAAACAATAATTATAGGACACATTATTTTAAGGTATCATAGGGGCATCTAAAAATAAGGCCATACAAATATCTTGTTCATGTTTTCTGATGGCAAAGCAATTAAAACAGGTCAATTTTAAAAGTATAACAAGAAAATTTCTATTTTTAAAAATTCAAAACAGTTTTCAATAGTCCAGTCAGTGAAGAAATCTTAATATAATTTAGTAATTATTTTGAACTAAGCAATACAACACCACATAACACATTTGACATAGATAATGAAGTATTTACATCAGTGGTTCCCAGCATGGGGCACATGCCCCACTGGGAGGCAATTTGATTTTTAAGAGGGGCAATTTGAGAATGAATTTTTTGTATTTTTTATGGTTCTAGGGGCCTCATATACAGTGTATAAATATATATTTTGACAAATAATGTGTTTGTTGTCTATTATATTTGAAACTTTGCTATTTTTTCATATCCCTTCATATAATTGTCATTATTTTAACAATTTCTTCCTCACTACTTCAACTGTTGTTTCATTATGTTTTTTTTACATGGATACCATATTCTTTGGAAGCTTGGTTAGGGCAAGTTAATGGCCTTTTAGGCTTCCTCCATATGAATAGGAGTTCACTTTTTGAATAATAAGGATTATATGTCACAGGAGGATCATAAGGATTTTAGCAATGCTTAGGTGGGGCATGGCCAAAAAAAAGTTGGAAAGCATTGATTTGGACACAAGTTTCCAATTAGAATAAAAGGCATCAAACTAATTGATTTCAGTATCTTTTTATGGGAAGTAATAAGGAACACCAAATGAAGAAGGAAAAAATGCAATGAAGAGTAGTAATAATTAAATCAGAAATATAACAAAATAGAAGAATGATATTTGTGTATTTTGGTCTTTGCAAGATACTAAAAGTTCTCTCTCAGGATTAAGGGACTTACTTTAAATAAAATAAATTTTATATATGAGAACTTGTATCAATTTTAAATTAACATATTAAAATACCTGCTAATATAAAAGTATATTCATTTTGATTGCATAATATAAAAACCATAATGATAATTAACTGTTCAACATGTTGATATCATGTTAAGACCACAGAGGTCTTTAGACATAATTTGTTTATATTTTTTGTACAGGATATATTTTTTTCACGTATACATTTATCCAGTCATTTATTTATATCAATATGGACACAGATTTATTGGGGGGGGGGTTAACCCAATACTTTTTTTTTATTCTGTTGCTCAAATTATTTTACCTTTGGCCATTAGGCACACTAAATGGGCTCCTGCTCCATTTGATATGATATATGATAGTCATTGTGTGTCTGCATTTTTTCCCCAGTTCTTCCTTTTTCTGATAGTACAAGTTTGTCTAGGCTCATGTATTTTCCAGCCCTAGTATTAGCCATTTTTCCAAGTGACCCTGTTATATGTGTGTGTGTGTGTGTGTGTGTGTGTGTGTGTGTTTGTGTTTAATTTATAAGAGAATGATGTTACATGTTACAAATTAAGAACTGGGCAGTAGGTACTCATAGTTATTGGAATGTCATTGTGGGTAGGTCCTCTTCTGACGGAGCAAGGAAATACATGCGTGTATACTAACCCAAGCCTATACACCTACCTCTATATCTGTTTGTATCTATATTAGTCTAAACATGAGTTCATTTGGGTATCTCCAAATCTAATCTAATACGAGGTCGTTCATTCTCGTCATCCTCTCTTGCTTATCTGTAATGTCCTTCTCTAACAATGAGAAACCTGGCTCTCATTCTCCACAAGCCATTGACTTACTTGTTCAATCCTAGTAAGTTCAGAAGTTTCAGGCTTGTTAACCTGTCTGCCTATGAGAAACAACTTTACTAATTGGAGTACATATAGTGCTTGTGTGCAGTTCCTTTTGTCCTTAGGCTTTCAGTTTCCACTCATTTCTGAAATTACTTAGTTCTACATCTTTTTTCCCATCCCCTTCCAGAGATTGTCATAGAGCTGTGATAACACTTAAATTCTTTAGGAGTCTGCATCTATTCAAAGTTCCCCAAACTCCTAATAGACTTCTTGAAAATTTTCATTTTAATTAAAATTCTGCATGTACTGTAAAGTTACATAGGTTTTAAAAAATGCATGGGGTGGGGGGCATGTATCTAACACCATAGCAATACACAGTTCAGAACAATTTCACGGTTCTAAGAAGCCAGTGCTTTGCCTAGTTAACCTCCCTCCCCTCCTCTTCAAACTCCTGACAACCATTGCTCTGTTTTCCTTCTCTATAGCTCTGCCAAGCTTTTTTTTTTTTAAGTATGATCTTTGCTACGCCTTGTCATCTATACTAATAAAAGGGTCATATACTAATTAGACCGGGGGACCTTCCAGGAGATTGGCCAGGGAGGGCAGTGGAGGGCCATGAGGCCAGCGGGGGGATGGCAGTTGGGGGCCATGAGGCTGGTCGGGGAGGCAGTTGGGGACCATGAGGCCAGTGGGGGAGGGAAGTTGGGGGCCATGAGGCTGGCTGGGGAGGGCAATTGGGGGTAATCAGGCCAGCGCGGGGGGGGTGTGTGTGCTGTTGGGGGCAAGCAGGCCTGCAGGCAGAGTCGTTAGGGGTGATCCAGCAGGCAGGCAGTTGAGCGGTTAGGAGCCAGCGGTCCAAGATTGAGAGAGGGATGTCCAACTGCCGGCTTAGGCCTGATCCCATTGGGATCTGACCAATACACGAGGTAGAAGGTGTAGTTCTAGAGGTTGTTATCTGAAAGTCACAGAATGAAGAGAAAAGACATACCTCAGGAAAAACAGCAGGAAGAGTGTCTTGCACATAATGGGACTTGCCATGACCTTTATTTTCTTGGAACTATGTTTGAGGAAAGTGAGTTCTTCTCTCATTGCAGATTGTAAAACCTTCAACGTGAAAGGAATTTGAAACATATTGAAAAGCATTAATGGAAAAGGAAAAAAAATGGGGAATTGCAGCAAGCCTTCATGATATAGTTTATATTCTCCTCCACATTATTTTATAATCCTACCTGGAAACAAAATAAATATAATTTCTTTGCTAAAGAAATGTGTTCTTAACTCTTGAAATTGTGCATTGCTCTATTATACATTATAAATTATTTTGAACTTTTTATGTCACTTGAAAATGTACAAATCCTGTGTGAAAATTAAGCAATTATGAATATTACTCCCGCTCTAAGGGGGGAGGAGTAAGACTGAATGAAGTAAAGTAACAAAGCATGTTGAACCTTATGCAACCTTAAATGGCTTCTGTTAATATCTTCATTTTATCACTGTGTATTACAGTATTCATGTATTTGTGAGTCTTTGAGCAGAACTAGTCAAGTGTATATTCCTGGGCTATTCTTTATGAATTAGGAATACTTCCAAGTCTTAGTTCATTGATGCAGTTGTAATATATTTTTCCATAAATATCCAGAAAGTGTCATATATCAATACTACTATGAGGAGAGAGAAGAAAACAGTGAATTTCTTCAAGTTTTTACTTTTTGTGGTACAATAACTTTATGTGTTGGAATCAAGTCCAATTGTGAAAACAACAACAACGCGTAATCCTTCTCATGAAGATTGCCTATGGCTTGCCCATTTGCATTACACTGCATTTAATGTATACACTATGATATTGAAATATAGGCTGTTGCTATTTAGAATCATATTATTCAATCATCATAGACTGCTAGCCTTGTAATCAGTTATTTAGTTATCAATCCATGCTGAAAAATTATTAATGGAGCTTTTCCTTTAGTAAAGAATCTTCTTTTAGTATCTGCCATTGGGCTGGGTTTTTCTAATTTGTCTCTTTAAATCAAAACCATGGTGCATAAAGACATTTGAGAGGAAAGATACTCTAAAATCTAACAAGGAATAATGAAAGATATTGGGGTTAATACCAGTTCCATCATCTAATTTCTAAGGGAGCTTTTCTGAACTCATGAATAACTTCCATACGTTCATTTTTCATAAGTCTATATAGCGTTATCTTCTTGTCAAATACAATATTCTATCAGACACGCTATCTCCAGCAGTGACTTTTTTTGTTGTTCTTTTCTGATAGGATTAATTGCATGGTCAAAAAGAGCTCAATATCTTTGTTTATATTTACGTTCATTTTCGGTTACCGTGGTTTGTTTGTTTTTGCTTTCATTGTGGTGGTACAGTTTATTTATATTGTTTGCCTCAATAAAGAAGAAACTTCAAGACATTCCTAATTTATTTTTCCTTACCTCAATATTCAGAGTCTCTTCAACATCTTTCTTCCCATTTGTATGGGCTACTTTCTTCATTGCTTTGAGTGCTTTTCCCAGCTTGCCAGTTACAATCAACCAACGGACAGACTCTGATGTCCACCTTTGTGAAGTAAGGCAGACGTTGAAATGGGAGAGGTCAATCCAAAATAAGATAAGACTTCAGAAAGACCTAGATTCCATTCAGTTGTGGTGGGATTCATGAGAACACGATGCCTCTCCAATTTGGAAGGGACTCAGGTTATTTTCCTGTCTCAACCTTTAACTCACTGTTAATTTATTTTTTAAAATTTTATCTTTGATATTTTATATTTATATTACTTTTAGATTTAAAAACAGCATTTCTGATTTTTGGACTTCTTAATTTTTAAAGCGAGATAGGTGTCACTGATGCCCCATAAGCTACTGTCCCCATTTTCTTTTCTTTTTTTCAAATCACAGGAACTACTGCCAGCTTCAGACAGTAAAGATCCCCCTACCTCAACCTTAATGGGGTTCCATCATGTCTCTTGCAAGCTTTAGTTTCTCCGTATTATTGTCATTAATTACTTCGAGTTTTGTTTTTCTCTAACAAATGTACTCCCTATTAATTATTTCCTTGACAGTGACAGTAATGTGTGTGTATGAACCCAAGAAAAATTATATTTTAAATTGCTTACATTAATTAATTTAATGTATTCCTTGAACTTTTAAGTTTTCTCTATTGAGTCCTTTTCTGCATTTTTTTTCTTAGCCCCATAAGGAGATGCAGAGTGACCAGCAGTCCATATTTATTTAAAAGCTTTCATGCCCGATCTTCACAAAGGAAACAAAGGCTACATACCATAGGGATAGGAAAAACACAAAGTAAGGCACTGAAATGGACAACTGTAGCATGCGCCAGTCTCGGAAGACATAAGCCAGTCCAGGTAGTACCATCTGTCCAGTGCTTAGAAGCAGAGACCTTATTGTTATAATCACGGGTGTGACATTAGATGGCAGCCATTCTATAACTTAAAGAAAATGCATTGACATAAATCTAATAAACAGTGAGAGAAAAACATGACAAAATTAGCTAAGAGAAGACAAAAATGTCAAACTTACGGAGTACAAGAGTATTGGTGAATATGGTTCCCGTTGACATTGCCAAAAGAAATCGAATTGTACAGTAAATTGGGAAGGTTGGGGCAAAAATTGAACCAGTGCCCAGTAGTGCAGACAACAGGGAAGAAGCCAACAACACAGGTTTCCGGCCAAATCTAAGAGGAAACCAATAGAATGAACAAACAATCTAAAAATATAAGTCTATAGACCATTGTACAATTGTATGAATTATTCTGAGAATTTCCATCTTGGGACATGACGGCTCTTCTGTGTTCTTTTTTTCTCATGACAGGTATCCCATTATATGGCGAAATTCTAATAAATAGACCCCTTCCCCAAAAGAATAAGTTCTGTGTGACCAGAATAGTTTTTACACATCATAAAACTATCAGTATTTAGTTATGTATGGAAAATAACAGCTTTTAGTGATGGTTCATTGGACAAACAAATCTGATTCATAAAGTTTCCCCTATCTTCTGAATAACTTTATCAGGTCATAATATTTCTTTCACCATCCTCCATAAATTCTCTATTTATTCATTGATAAGGGTTTCTATATATATTCATTTATCACGTTCTGACTAACCAGTTAATATATTTGCACAGTGTTTTTCTAAATATTTTTATTATGTCTAAAATATCAATAACTCAAGTATGTTTTGCTTTATAAAAGATACTATCTAAATTCCTTAACATGGAGTTAAAATCATTTCAAAATCTTGGTTTTTGTATGAAATTTTGCTCCTTGTACTTTACCCAATTATTTTTCTATTTTATTTTCAGTGAATCTTCCTCTAAAACTTCTTTGTTATTTTTAGCATTACACCATTAATTTTACTTCTTGATTTATTAGCTAATATATAAGCCTAAATGTAACTGTCATAGTCTTTGTGATATTGTAGCAGATGATACTGGTGCCTTGCCAATCGTTATTACTCAATGTTCTCACACCTTTAATGTCTTCTGAGGCCAAGCAGCCGTTTCCTATGCCAAAGAGCTTTCTCTGACCACAGTAATGTAGTTGTTTGGCACAGGGAAGATTCTAAGTGCCAGGATATCTTCTTTACTTTATAGGTGGCATTACTCTGAGGCATGCTTACCGTTTCCCAGAAGACCACAAAGGGATTGATCCTCAGGTTCCCATATGGTAACCTGCTTAGTAATATTATGTCACTTTCCTTCCCCTCCCCACTTACCTCTTCATGCATCCTTGGATCCCATCCCAAATAAAACCTTGCACACAAATCATCCTAGAATTTGATTCAAAAGCAACCCAAACTAAATCTGAAGCCTTCCCTTTCAAATGATGAAGGTCTCTCCTTCAACACTGTTTGGCATTTAGTCTGAATCCAGACTGCGACTATGTAGAATATCCACTTTCTTAATAAGGCTGCTTTTGTCACTTTCTAGGTCTTCAGCCTTAAATGTTGTAATCTTAGAGAATATATGCATTATGTATTTTGGGGTCACTTATGAATCAAAATATGAGACTTACTTGTCAGAAATATAGCCACCTAGAAGAGATCCCAACATGAATCCTGCCATAAACATGGACTGTGACCATAATTTGAGTGACTTTGATTTACATACTAAATTCCACTGGAAAAAAGAGAATTAGATCAAATGTCACAAACAATATGAAACTGAACATGCAAGTTATAAAATTATTTAGTATGAGATAACAAATCATTTTGATGACCTGTACTTGAAAAATGGGAGATGTATGCTTAAAATATATTTAAAAGTTGCAAAGTACTTTATAATATAGTATAAGTACATTTCATAAATGCTCATTTTGTTCTGAGTACTATGAGAAGCTAATACATGCTTTGTTAAAGATTTGAGAAACTATGGAGGGCAAAGAGATATGGTACACATACTTCTGGGATTAATGGAGATGAGAATAAAAGTGAAATGTTAAGGTGATATGTTAATGGAGGAACTAAAATAATCTGAAAGGACAGAAGTTTTTTCTATGAGAAAGTGTAATAAATCTATAACTTGATGCCAGTATGAAAGGGATGGAAAGACTGTGAGGAAAGGGTGAGCATCGTAAGTGTTCTTTAGGCTAAAAGGAGTCAACTCTATTTTATGCCATTGAATTTCATTCCGTTCACGAGAGTTGCCAGTAGTTACAGGGAGAATTTCTGGAGAGCAAATAACTGTAAGATGATATTAAAATGGAGAGATCTTATATTTCAGATCATTCAAATTATTTACTGGAATACAGATAACGAACTAAGACAAATAATTTGATATATTTAAGTACTATAGCATGATTGGATTTCTGTTTAGAAAAAGAAATTTTGTGATAGTGTTTAAAACATATCAGAGGAGAATAAATATGTAGGGGAGTAAAAGTAAAAGGCTATTCAAATAATGGGATACAGTTGTTTGTGATTTGACTGGTGTGATAGCATTTAGAAGTGGAAATATCAATTTAGACACACATATACGTTTTATAATAAGATCATTAAAATTTTGATTAAAAAGATAAAGGGAAGAAAAAATTAATTATGGCCCCAGATATGTGATCTGAATAAGTAATGTTTAAAATTTACATTTCTGAGAGGTGCAACATTGAGTAGCAAATTCTAGTAGGAAAATACATTAGATCAAGGTGTTTTTAAGGCATTCAAATGGATATTTACAATAGGTTATTTTATATTTCAAGTAGTTTCACTGATTTCTTATACTAGAAATCTTAAATTTTGAATTAAGAAATGAAAGAAATAATGAGGTGGCAGTGGAGTAAGGTGGAAACCACACTCACCTCCTCCTAGGACCAAATCAGAATTACAAGTAAATTTTAGAACAATTATCTGAATAGTCAACTGAATCCTAGCTTAACAGAAGGCTTAAAACCAAGGATTTACAGAAGACACATCGAGACTGGTAGGAAAGGTGGAGACACAAAATGGTTGCCAAAATTCGGAGACAAAGAAACACATCCCGAATGAAAGAACAGGAGAAATCCCCAGAAAAAGAACTAAATGAAAGGGAGGCAAACCATCTACTAGCTACAGAGTTCAAAACAATGGTTATAAGAATGCTCAAGGAAATTAGGATAAGAATGGATAAACTCAATAAGGACATAAACAAAGAGATAGTAAAAATAAAACAACACATAGAAATCATAAAAAAGAATTAGTCAAAAATGAAGAATACAATAGCTGAAATGAAGACTTCACTAGAAGAAATCAATAGCATATGACATGGAGCAGACAATCGAATCCGTGATTTCGAAGATAAGGGAGCAGAAAATGCCCAGTTAGAGCAGCAAAATAAGGAAGGAAGGAAAAAAAGGGAAAAAGAAAGGAAGAAAGTAAGAAAGTTAGTTAGTTCAAAGGACCTCTGAGACAGCATCAAGTGTAACAACTTCTGCATCACAGGGGTTCCAGAAAGAGAAAAGAGAGAGAGCATGGGATTGAGAACCTATGAGGAGAATAATAATTGAATACCTTCCTAATATGGTGAAGGAAAAAGTACAGGAAGCACAGAGTCCAAAACAAGATGAACTCAAAGAGGTCCATCCCAAAACATACCATAATTAAAATGGAAAAGGTTAAAGACAAAGAGAATATGATATTTAAAACAGCAAGAGAAAGATAGTTACCTACAAGGATCTCACAGAAGACTGCCAACTGATTTCTCAATAGAAACATTCAAAGGAATAGGCATAAATACTCAAAGCAATGAAAAGCAAGGACCTACAACCAAGACTGCTCTACACAGAAAGGCTATCATTTAAAATTGAAGGAGAATTATAGAGCTTCCCAGACAAGAAAAAGCTAAAGGAGTTTATTATGACTAACCCAGTATTATAAAACAAAACAAAAACATAAAGGGACTTCTTTAAGAAGAAAGAAGAGGGTATAGGAGGATAAATGGTGATGAAAGGAGATTTGACTTTGGGTGGTGAGCACACAATACAATATACAGATGATTTATTATAGAATTGTACACCTGAAACCTATTTAATTTTATTAACCAGTGTCAGCCAAATAAATAGAAAAAAAACAAATTCAACTAAAGGCAAAAACAAACAAACATGCAATACTCAACTTTTTATCAAGGGCATTGGCCTCTTTTCCTTTAGATTGTCAAATTAAAAAAATGACAACAGCCAACACAACAATAGCTGTCCAGTGGGAATGAGTCAAAATTATACCTATTTTTGTCAGATTGGCAAAAATATATTTCTTGGTGTGATGCAAATTTTGGTAATTAGCTTATGTGTGCTGTTAGATGCAAAAAGGTTGAAAAATGCTGTTAGGTTATCTGGCATCTCACAAATGCAGCCACTATGGAGGTTAATAAAAAAATTAAAGCCCTAGCCAGCTTTGCTCAGTCGATAGAGCATCGGCCTGTGGACTCAAGGGTCATGGGTTTGGTTCCGGTCAAGGGCATATGCCTGGGTCGCGGGCTCGATCCCCAGTAGTGGGTGTGCAGTAGGCAGCCAATCAATGATTCTCTCTCATCACTGATGTTTTTATCTCTCTCTCTCCCTCTTCCTTCCTCTCTGAAATCAATAAAAATATTTTTAAAAAAGTAAAAATGGACCTGCTTTATAACCCAGCAACTCCAATTCTGGAAATATATTCGAAGAAACCCAAAACATTAGTCCAAAAGAACATATGCACCCATGTGTTCCTTTCAGTGTTATTTCCAATAGCCAAGATATGGAATCACTCCACATTCCCATCAATGGACAAGTGGATAAAAAAGTGGAATTACTACTTTATGACTATTAAAAAGAATGAAATCTTACCATTTGTGACAGTATGGATGGAATTACTAAGGGAAATAAGTCAGTCAGAGAAAGATAAATACCATGTTGTTATTTATATGTAGAATCTAAATAAAGTAGCAAAATTAAAACAGGCCCATATATACTGAGAGCAGACTGATGGTTGGCAGAGGGAAGGCAGTTAGTGAGACTGGGGAAAAAGTGAAGGGATTATGAAATATAAATTTGGAGTCACAAAATATTCCTAGCAGTGTAAAGTACAGCATAGGGAAAATAATAATATTGTAATAACTATGTATGGTGCCAGGTGGCTACTAGAAATACTTGGAGGAAAACTGTGTGAAGCCTATGATTATCTAACCCACTATTCTGTACAATTGAAACTTAATACAGAATAATATGAATATAAATTGTCATTGGAAAATAAAATTAAAAATCAAACAGAAAGTAAATAATAAAAAGAAACAGTATTCTAATGAAAAATACTTTGTCAAGTGCAGATGCACTAAATCAACAGAATTTCCCAAGGAATGGAGGTAAATTGTAGGCTCAGTAACATTAATTGATAAAGTTTAAATTTGGCAACATATTTTAACAATGGCATTGACAAACTAGAACTGTGGGAAAAAGTAGAATTCATGATGAACAAATAATCTTTTATATCCTCTGAAAATCTGTTTAGGAAAGTAAAGTTTCTTTATGAACTCTTCTTAATTTCCATAATAAATATTTGTCAGTATTCAGTTATCTTAACAAAAATGATGTGTTTTTTATTTTGAATCTGCATGTCATACCAAGTTAGATACAATTGATGAAAACCACAAGTCTGCCACTTACCAATTGTTTTAAAGAGACATTTTATATTGCCTGAGATTTAGTTGCCTATTCATAAAATGTGAAGCTAGCTAACCCAAAGGATTAATGTAAAATTTACTAAATATTTCCTTCTATTGAGCTCTTTAATAACATATTGAGCTCTCAAATCTTTTGTGTGGTATTAAATTTAATAATTTTGACATCCCTAGTAGGTAATGTTTTAATTTTGCTTTGGAAATGTTAATTTATCTTTGGAAACGTTAAGATCACATGTAAGTAATTGCCAAAGTAGGGACTCAAACATTGGTCTGCCTGCCTCTCAAAATGACTCTTTTCTACTATGATAGACTAAAAAACTAATACAGTCCCTGAGCAATAACATTGCAGCACATGTTTCCCTTTTCTTGTCCTTCACATATTTAAGTATTTTTGTTATCTGGGTGACATAGCCTAAGCCTAAAAGCATCATAAAAAAATTTAATTTAGTCTTATAAATGGAAAATTACTGATTGGTTGCCCTAACCGGTTTGGCTCAGTGGATAGAGCGTCGGCCGGCGGATTCAAGGGTCCCAGGTTCGATTCCGGTCAAGGGCATGTACCTTGGTTGCAGGCACATCCCCAGTGGGGAGTGTGCAGGAGGCAGCTGATCGATGTTTCTCTCTCATCGATGTTTCTAGCTCTCTATCCCTCCCTCTCCATTCCTCTCTGTAAAAAATTAATAAAATATATTAAAAAAATTAAAAAAAATTACTGATTGGTAATTTTTTTCTTTATTTCATACCTGGGTTACAGTAGTGGAGGTAAATATACTTTGGTCATAGATCCAACCATCCAAGCATGCTTCTATCTCCAGCTCAGTCGTATTTATGGCCAAATCACTGGAGTTTAAAAGTTGCCACTGGGTTTGACGGAACCGACGACATTGCTCTAGCTCATTGTTTGCTCCCATCGGGATGGAAATTCGCAGGAGGGCCTCCGTGGTTAGGTTTTCAGGATGCTTGCTTTCAGATGCGATGTTGTCAAGGAGATGAACATAGCAACGGTGAGCGAGC